TTTAAGCTGCTATTACTGGTGTACGTTAGCGTACATGTAACGTGGATACATATGTCCGTGCGATGATTTCGTTAACGTAAAAGGAAACCGCGTGGTATTTTAACAGGAAACAAAGTATGAGAGGAAAATCCACCACAGTAATGATGTCACATTTTGATATATATCTAGCCCTTCCCTTTCCTCGGATAAACGGATGTGATACCGTCACGATTAGGGTCGGACTCAAAAGGTCACATTTTATGGAAGTTGCTCCGATCAAATTTTGGACTTTTCTAATATCTGCCTCGTCCTTGTGGTTTTTGTTTTGGATTATTGATTGTCGTTTTGGATATGTTTATATATTAATATACTCTATGTTGTATGATTTTAGAGCGTTGATAATAAACAGATGAAACTATATTGATGATTCGAACTGACATGTAGTGAAAGAAGGTTAAATATATATATATATATATATATATCTACACATAACGGCGTCGTGCCAATTCATTTACTATAATTAGTATCTTAATTAATACTAACAGCATCACCTAATTACATTGACGTCATCAATCATATAAGTGGGTCATCTGAAAATTAGAATAGTATTTTTAGATGACCCGTTCATTCAAAGAATATCCTACACAGATCTGTATAAGACCGAAATATCTGTATCTATTCCAGCATCTGATAGCTATTTGGACAGATGTCACCTTGTGTAATGACAGAAATGATAAGCCCTGTTAAATGGGACATTCCGCATCTCCGCAGGTGCGGAGGTTTTAAACCTATATAGGTACCTCGGATTTGCAAAACCCAGGAATATTTGGAAAGATGAATATATTTGTAGTTCAGTCATTCCACCATTTTCTCCCTACACTATTAATGTCATGTCAAAGTCTTTTTCGGCGAAACTGATCTAGCATCGGCCATTTAAAACTGCGTGCCCATCAAAAAGTTCAAAGGTAGAAAACGCATCTTTGGAGGTGTGGAAAATCCCCATTCAACAGGGACTTTTCTTCTGACTATACTCCAGCCGACAACTGGTCAATATATCTAACAAAGACTGGAATAGAGGCAGATGTTCTACTCTAGCTGTCAAAATATCCAGACAGGTTTTCGGACTAGGATCTGAAGATGATAGTTACAATTAGAAAATTATGACTACCGTGCTGGATCTTGGATCAATCGACCACTATCGTGCTGGATCTTGGAACATACGACCACTATCGTTCTAGATCTTGGAACATATGACCACTACCGTTCTGAATCGTGGAACATATGACCACTACCGTGCTGGATCTTGGAACATACGACCCCTACCGTGCTGAATCTTGGATCTTACGACCACTATCGTGCTGGATCTTGGAACATATGACCACTACCGTGATGAATCTTGGATCATATGACCACTACCGTGCTGGATCTTGGAACATACGACCACTACCGTGCTGAATCTTGGATCTTACGACCACTATCGTGCTGAATCTTGGAACATACGACCACTATCGTGCTGGATCTTGAATCTTACGACCACTATCGTGTTGGATCTTGGAACATACGACCACTATCGTGCTGGATCTTGGAACATACGAACACTATCGTGCTGGATCCTAGAACATACGACCGCTATCGTGCTGGTTGTTAGACCATACAACCTCTACCGTACTGAATCTTCCCACAAACTAGCTCTGTCCTGATAAGGATTGTACGTAAGATACGAACTGCAAAGCGAAACAAGTAATCCAAATACATGAGTAGCAGTAATATAGTCTCATATAGTTTTGTAAATAACGTTGGTATTTGAATGGTTCTCAAGTGTTTTCTCTACTTTTACTTTATCAAATCTCTTTCATTTCAAGTATCATGAACCAAATCATAACTTCTTTCAAATTAACTGAGAGATGATTGACTTTTTTAACAGAATTTAATCAACCGGGAATTTTTCATTTGGCACGAAAAGCAGCAGTCTCGTGTTCAGTGTCTGTTTTAATAAAAAAATAAATCAAAACCCGTATTGTCTCCCTTCAGTTTTTGAATGATATGTCAAAGAAAGAAAATTAAACAAATCAACAAAACAAAAGGAAAACCGAAACGGTCAGCGTTCTTGAAGGCAGACTGGAATTTCCATGAAATCAACATGATAAAAGTGTTGGACTGGTCAGGAAACTCCTCTGATGTAAGTCCAATCAAAACTTTGTGGTCTATCATTAACATTTGTCTCTGTAAAAAGGACAGTGCCAATTTAGGCCATAATTCAGATCTGGTATCATGATACACAAGGGTGTAGTTATTTAATTTTTAACTCTTCACTCTCTAGGTTTAGTTATCAGACAATTAGTATTGTTCTATATCCAGGTCAGTTTAAATAAACATAGCAACTAGTAATTCGCCATAGAAATCCTTGCCAGTTAAATAATTTCTATAGTTATCATATTTTACTGATAATTGGAATTCTTTGCTTAACGTTTAACAAATAAAATTAGATATTCTTCACGTCAATTTATAGATGAATCAAGATGCAAATAAACCAGGTATGGTGTCTATTGCGATGTGTGCGGGAGTTCATATTATATACTTCATTAGATTACTTTCATTTCATTTCTTTTTTATATACATTTATATCATCATATATTAACTCTCCCTCCACCTTCAGTATGTTTTTAGGGAATACTCCACTATAAAGAATATTATACACCAGCACTTCGCCGTCTGAGTGAGAGTAGTGATTTGTGTCGATTTTGCGATGTAAATATGAATTAAGAACATAATATAAACTGCCTGCAATCAGATACGTCAGAACAACGTTGGTCAAAATGTTTTTTGATTCTTCAAGATCATTGTGAAGATCATCGTGAAGATTTTGAAGCTTATTACTACCAGTTTGGAATTGATCATTCAACCTTGTATAGTTATTAGATGATCGATATCTAAATGACTTGTTTTGATTACAATTAGTTTCATGAATACACCGCAACGTTTCGAGTTTACATCTCCCATCTTATCATTGGGCGACTGAACCATCTTATAATTCCTTAATGTACAATTTTCAATTGTGATATCTCATAGCACCAAATTATATCTTAATTTACAACACAATCAAATATTTTCATGGTGTCGTCTCATCAAATTTTGATTTTGCTCTTGAAGCCTCCGATTCCTCTCAGGTGCTCACTACGGCTACTAACCAATGATTTTTAAAAATTATTTGTCATCCTTCTTCCTACCAACTTTGATTGTTATTTAAGACTGAAAATAATTTTGATATTGGTTTAATTGCACCCTGGGAAACGATGATATATATATCACTATACTATACGATAATATATTATTCACTATATACATCTAGTAAACATCAGACTTGAACAACATTTAGAAGTGATGAGTACAAATCACAAACACAAGACAATACTATAGAATAAAAACACTTCTTTAATATAATATTAAACACATAACATTTCAACATAAATTACACGTGTCGTCATGGGATGACGTGTTGAAACGTTATGTGTTTAATATTTTATTAAAGGAGTGTTTTTATTATATTATAGTGTTAGTGATTTGTAGAAAACAGAAGGATATGATGCCGATTATCATGTATTGTTTTAATCTTACTATTATTATATTGCCTTATCCTCTCGGGTGATATCAGTTCATTCACCTACATTTAATATCCGGTATCTAACTTAAAAGTTCAACATTTGGAAACACCCCACACAAATCCGCAACAACTCTACATGAGTTGAGCTTCTTTTCAGTTAATTTTGAATCTTAATCCATACAAATTATTTTTAAATATGTTTCCCCAAACAGTGATAAATGAAATGAATGGATTATTACATCCTACCCTCGGACGTACATCGCAAGCAGTGTTCAATGATTGCTTTTTACATGTCCGCCATAAAGTAGTAGGCTCATATGTGTGTCCTGGCAAGCTTTCCCTCGAGTTTTAATCATGGTGGCTCTCTGATCAAAGCCTTACCCAGACATTTTAAATGACCACAATTCAATCATCGTTTTTCTTGTTGTTTTTAAGTTGACTCTCTGGTCAGAGCCTTACCGTAACCATTTTTAAACTGACACAATCCACCCGGAATCAACTGCTGTGTTGTTTATTCGAGTGAATCTCTAGTCAGTGCTTTATCCTAATAATTTTACATTACCACGAGTTTCAATGGTCACAATTCACCTGGAACCAATAGCTATGTTGTTTATTCCACAGAATCTCTGAAGAGAGAATATTGAAGGCAATGACTAAATGGGACCACGTGATGGACTCGAAGTCTCTATAAATAGAGGTAGACTTACGATTATTACAGATATCTTTCCAGTCAGTCTGATGTATCGAAGCAGCCGACATTCTCGACTAGCAGCCGACACACGTCAGAGAAAACACCTTTACCTAAAATATACAGTGAAGTCTTATTGATTGTTTAAAAAGTTGTGATATTCTAAAGGTTGAAATATTGAAAATCAATAATTGTAACAGCGAAAGAGATCTACCTGGATGTATAAAACATCACAATATGTCAGTCATTGAACCGACTGGAAGTTTTATAAGTTCTCAAGTATCACGTTAGTTTGTGAATATTTTACCCAGTTTATTTCACTAAAGGGGAACACTGGAGTCTCTTCTCCCCCGGATAAATATAGACAGCAACGGTGCCTTTCCTACCGACTATCAAATCATGACGCAGGGAACTAATCTGGCCGACGAGGCCCGAGGACCAGACCATAAACGGAAGCGTCGTCTTAGTCTGTCTTCACAGATTAGTGCTCACAGTGTCGGAAGTGCGACCTCGGATAATGCCCTGACATTGCCGTTTGGTAATCAGCTGGTCATCGCCTCGGCGCCCGGATCCCGAGCATCGTCTTTTAGAAATAAACCACGTCCATCATCTAACGAACTAGAAGTTATTGTGCCTGCCTTTCGTAGAAATAGTGTGCCAAACTGCGGAATTAATTTATTAAGTGTCCCAAATGATGATGACGACATTAAAGGCTCAGCAACTCGCTTACAGAGGGTTCGCTCTTTTAAAACGACGTCCAAAGGAGTTGTTAACCGTGGTGACTCTTTTAAAAAGAAAAGCTCTCGTAGTTTGAGGCTTATGACGACGGGAACGGACCACCGAGACCAAACAAAGCGGACCATTTCACAGGAAAAAGATGGATCTAATCATTCTAATAGCTCGAGTGCCCCTGGGTATTATTCAGTGATAGTACTAGGGGGTGCCGGTGTGGGCAAGTCCACCCTCACTCGTCAGTTTATGACCTCGGAGTATATTGATACCAATGAAACAGGTCAAGGTAAGTCCGTACTTTTACATTTTCCATGTTATAATACCAAAAGGTAAATATTAGGCCATGCAATACCGATGAGCATCAATATCAGATCATCAACATCCACAAAATGAGGTTATATCCTTTTAAAAAGGACTACAAATATCGACAACGGCATACAAATATTACAAAACGGTTTATAGTTGAAGAATGAGCCATGGATTAGCTACTTCGTAAACTGACAAGGGCGATACCTTTACAGTGCAAAACGCAAAATTAGAACCACAGTCTAAATATATACAAAACTAGATTCACAGAGCCAAGGCAGAGTGATATCAATTCTATACGTATTTTGTTTTGTTATGATACGCCCCAGAGCTCAGGAAGATTGATAAAAATGTTAGTCGGCATGACATGGCGGTGAAACCCAGCTCTTGATAATTATCTGACGTAAAGCTCCATTCATTTCAGTTCATTTGATAATGATCCAAAATTCTAGTGGCGATAACTGACCCGTGTAGTTAATTACATCTGACCAAACAGGCATTAGCAATTAGGATATCATAATTAATATCATGATAGGTTTTCTTGACCGCGGTCGAATCTTGGACACGAATCAATTGTTGGTCATAATATTCACAAAATACTGTACTCTTGGCATCGGTCCACATCTCCCTACCTTGAACCACCATCTTACCCCCACCCCCCCTCTACCTTGACAACGCCCTACCTTGACCCCGCCATACCATGACCCCGCCCTACCTTGACCCCTACTTAAGTAGGCCCCAGGTATATTACGACCTTCTCGCATTGTAATACAGTTGTTGTTCTGATCTAGTTTTAAAGATGGCGAGCCTTAACCACCTGGTAGAAATCAATTCCCAAATCAGCAGACATGAAAAGGTTAAAGCTATCAATTTACTGGGTATGATGATCAATCAGAGTCTGAAATCCTGACAAATATAAACAATCTCTTACTAGATTCGCTCGGAGATCAATAGCAGAAAGCTGAAATGTGATTGATTTTCTGGAATTAATGTTGGAATCGAATTACTCTCGATCTGTGTTGGTATTTACATAAACATCCAATAAATCCAAACTCTTACGACAGGTCTTCACGTTGGAAATAGAATCCACGTATTCGTCAAGATATATACTTTAAACAACTTCACAATATCAGGGTATAACGATTTTTTTACTATTATCATTTACTACTTACTATTACCTACCATGCTTACTCGATTCCAAACACCTGATAGTACTTTCCTTTTGGAGACGTCCACTACTATACAACTATTATTCTCGATTTTGCCATTCTTTGGACGCGATATTTTATTGACAGAATTGTCTTGCTTGTACGGACTTCTGATGATTTACATGTACCTCTGAGACTGAATTAAGATATAAAATGACTATTGCCAACAAATAATAATCTCTCCGTTAAAGAGTATTTCATGCTGAAAATTGTAACATGTTTGTAATTAAGGTTCTATTAAAGTTATCACGGTAACAAATTACCGGAATTTCCTCTTTAAGTTCAGCCTGAAGTTATCAATAGCATGTAATTTAAGACATGGCGGTTTCAACTACCTGCATTGAAAACATTTTATCTTTTTTTAGTGGGTATTTATCTAGACTTATTTTACGGATGAGATTGTTAAATGATATCAGGTTTTCTGTCATATTGTATCTGCTTGATACTGTCGAATATACAGACGATCTAAACCTCTATATTGCTGAGGTCACTTGGTACCTCAAATTGGAACAAAAAAGACCCATAATCATAACGGCCAATGTTACTTGGTTATCTGTAACTTCATATCATAACGGTCAATGTTACTTGGTTATCTGTAACTTCATATCATAACGGTCATTGTTACTTGGTTATCTGTAACTTCATATCATAACGGTCAATGTTACTTGGTTATCTGTAACTTCATATCATAACGGTCAATGTTACTTGGTTATCTGTAACTTCATATCATAACGGTCAATGTTACTTGGTTATCTGTAACTTCATATCATAACGGTCAATGTTACTTGGTTATCTGTAACTTCATATCATAACGGTCAATGTTACTTGGTTATCTGTAACTTCATATCATAACGGTCAATGTTACTTGGTTATCTGTAACTTCATATCATAACGGTCAATGTTACTTGGTTATCTGTAACTTCATACCATAACGGTCATTGTTACTTGGTTATCTGTAACTTCATATCATAACGGTCAATGTTACTTGGTTATCTGTAACTTCATATCATAACGGTCAATGTTACTTGGTTATCTGTAACTTCATATCATAACGGTCAATGTTACTTGGTTATCTTTAACTTCATATCATAACGGTCAATGTTACTTGGTTATCTGTAACTTCATATCATAACGGTCAATGTTACTTGGTTATCTGTAACTTCATATCATAAC